GAACCCGTCCGTAGGCCGGACCCCGCCGCGCCCGAACCCGTCCGCGGCCGGACCCCGCCACGCCCGAACCCGTCCGCGGGCCGGACACCGCCGCGCCCGAACCCGTCCGCGGGCCGGACCCCGCCGTGCCCGAACCCGTCCGTGGGCCGGACCCCGCCGTGCCCGAACCCGTCCGCGGGCCGGACACCGCCGCGCCCGAACCCATCCGCGGCCGGACCCCGTTGCGCCCGAACCCGTCCGCGGCCGGACCCCGTCGCGCCCGAACCCATCCGCGGCCGGACCCCGTCGCGGATCAGCTGACGGCGGGAGGGCGGGGTCGCCAGCCGGCTGCTCCACTTGGCTCCATCATACCGCGGCGCGCCGCGCTGTGCTCCGGTGAGGCGCCTTGCCAATTATTGGCGAATGGGCCTGTCTATTGTTTCGGCCGTTAGCTGGCCCAGCCCGTGCGCGGGACGAAAGAGCTGAGGCAAAATGAATCAGTAACGGAACGAACACGACCATACGGGATCGGGTAAGCCCTGGCGCGTCCAAGGCATCGCGACGCCAGACTCGTCGCGACATATCGAGAATACCTACAGGGTCTCGCAGGTCCTTGGCAACTCCGCGCTTACTTTGATATCCGGTTTCGGAATCTAACCGCCCTTTGCTGGAGGAACGCAACCTGGCTTGGCGCTATTTTGGGCGCATGGGTGGCTCGCCACTTGCCTGCGCCTCAGCAGCATGTACCGCCGGTAGCGGTCGAGTCCCCTGGAAAGTCCGCGGCACCAGCCCTCGAGCCAGCCGCGCTGTCGCGGCACGCCCGGCCCGCTGCCCGGGGCCCACCAGTCGCCGGACCAGGGAGCGACCGACCAGCTGCGCTCCAGCGAGGCGGCGTCGCGGCCTCGCCTCCGGAGCCCTCCGTCACACGACATGGCTCCGCCGCGGTCGCCAGAGCACTGACCCGATCCGCCGCCCGCGGCCGCCGGCACGGCCGCGGGCTCGTTCAGAAACTGACCTGGGTCACTGATGCGGGCAGTCACGACTGCGGGCCGACGGACTGATTTGCCGCCCCATGGCTTCAGGAGTGGTGGAGCTTTGTTGGAAAACAAACTCGTGATAAGGGTCGCTGTCAGACTGAGGGGTCGTGACCGAGCCCGTCTTGTCATCGTTTAAATAGCCGGGGAACCCTGTTGAATCTGTCCTAATTTTAAGTAATTGTTAATTTCATTGTGCCGAGTGACCTTTATTCCTGAACTTTGACATGATGCCATGCCATGACCGGATCGTGTACGAGGATTGTTTCAGTAACACGTTTACAGCACCGGGTGTTTCCTCCTCCCCGAAAAGCCTGAAGTATACCCAAAACGCTGAATTTAGCGCCAAATTTGACGTTGATGTTCGGCCGGAACTGTGAGAACTTCCCCATCAGAAGACTTAACAGTTCTCGTTCAGGGTAAGACTTTCTAGACATTTGAGACACCGCATCGCGCATTTTCCTTCATTGTCTGGGATTTCTAGCTTGCATAGCACGAGTGGTTAGACTCGACCAATTAAATGTTTCACATGCCCTACTTTTCGTGGAAAAAGACGGTAGAGCTGCTAATTTTGAACCAGCAGGCTCGCAGAGTGCGGGTGCAAAAATCTCGGCGGTCTTTTAATGGCCAGCAATGGCAGGGTGGCGAGTTTCTGCGGACTTGCAAAACACAAACCCCAAATTTAATATTCCTCTGATTCTAAAAAATTACATCAATTTATTTCAGTTGCACACCAAAAAGACCAGTTTCAGGAGCCGACGGGGGTGAGGGAGTCAGTCAGCAGCTGACAAGCGCAACAGGCCCAGGGTTTAGCATTGCCAAATAATGGGTGGAGCAAACTCTGTTTTCAAGGAAGTTATTGCCGATGCGCAGCCATATGGTCAAAGTAAGCTTTTTCACCAGTGCACGTGGTTTACTACGCACGCCCTGTTGTCTACGGCAGCTAGCGGAGGGGGGAGAGGGAAGAAGCAGAGGGCCAGATCCTTGAGGAAACACTACACTGGTTACGTAAGAAAAAAAGCTTAGAAGTGCAAAGGAAAAGATCGCATGCTGCACTTTCTGGAGAGGAGAAAGTATCCTTGATGCGATTTGCACGCGATGCCTTCGGGTTTCCACCAAGTGTAATGTACGTTGATGTAGGCGCTCGCCTCGCTTATCATCCCTAACCATAACCGTGCGCCTCGGTCTGTTGCCAATACATGTTCCTAACCCTAACCGTGCCTCTGTCTGTTGCCAATACAGTTGCCAATACATGTTCCTAACCCTAACTCGCCTCGCTCGTCATTCCTAACCGTAACTGTGCCTCTGTCTCTTGCTAATACATGCTCCTTACCCCAATTGTGCCTCTGTCCAGATTGGGTTGGTAAGAATTCCAGATTGGTATCCAAAGTGCCCCCTACCCCTCACGCAACCGCCGTGAGTCTAGACACCTGTTACAGGTAAAAGGTCAACGATGCTCATGTAAGACCAGTGACATTTTTTTACCTAAAGGTCAATGTGCCCACAACCTATCAGATTCCTCCTATTTTTGTCATCCAAATAAGCGTCAGGGATTGCACTAGGCGGTATGCTCCTAAAAGAAAATGTTAATCTGGCTCAGTTTACGTCAGTTACCTACTCTGACCTTTAAAAAACCCATGGGGCATGTCTGTTGCGGCCCCTGTCATTAACGAATTCTAAATGTGCACCAGAAACTACCCATACAGCAAGCTACCGAGTGAAAAAGGAAATTGGCTTCGACCTAGGTCTGACCTTCATACCTGAGCCCAGATCACTGGAATTTGTTGTAATTCTTATTTTAAGTGGTTTATTGCCTCAAAACCCTCTCAGTCATGCGTGGTTTCGTCTAATACTTCGTTGTCGCATCACCTTGAACGATTCCCTAAAAATGACCCTTGCGAACAGCCGCGTCCACATTTTGACCCGCCATAGGTAAACGACCTTTCAAGGTACATCAATTTTTACACCAAAAGATCCGTTATTCAACTGCTACTCATACTATGTAAAGTTTAGCGCTGCTACGCCGCCTTGTTCGGAAATTAGCCTGAAAAAAACTTTGGGAAGGAAGCAAACTGACTCCCACCCGAGCGCACGTTAACGTTTATACGGCAACCAGTCAACAACGTGCCTTCCGCGGTCGTCGGATCAAATTGCAGTACACCACGTAACATACTAACACAAATTAGGCTGCCCTTTCGCTAATTCATTTTGTTTCCCTCCAGCTGCTGGCTATCGCGCAGCGAATACTTGTTACGCGAGGAATTTGTTACCACTAACACGTAAAGGAAACTATCGCCGTGCCACGACAAGGGAAGTCGCCGGGTCGGCAGGCACCACGTGGCCCGTGAAGCAATCACCAGTGTGGTTCGTGTGCAATATCATGCCGCCATCCAATCCCATCGCAGCCATAATGCCAGAAACTGCCCAGAAACAGCCCCCGTAGAGATCCTTCTGTTCTTCTCTCCAGCCCAGCGAATAGAGCGGCGCAGACTTATCAAACCGGCTTTCAGTTCGGCAGACTCGGTGATTGACCACCTCAAGACCGAGCCAGAGCCGGCTGAAAGAAAGGCGCCGACGAGGCACCGCTGGCAGCAGCGCACGCGCGCGCCGGAAGCTTGGCACAGAGCTGGGGCGGTGCGCCGGAACGACGCGCGCGGCGTGAACGGGAAGTCCTGGCCAACCATTATCATCGCACCGGCGCATCGGAAGCGCAGGCTCTCCGGAAGCGGAGGCGCCCGGAAGCAGAACAGTGGGCTGTGCACGCGCCGCCGGCACCAATCAGTGGCGGCATGTCAAGGCCGATGGCTGGCGGCGAGGGCTGGTGTCCCGCGAGCGCGTATAAAACATGCGACAGCCGGTTGCCAAGACGGTAATGTCGGGTGATGTGGGTGATGGCGGCAGACATGCCGTATTGCCAGAAGTCCGTGTCATGTCGGTGGAAATCTGCGGGGTGAGGGTGGGTTCGCGAAATAAGAACCTGTCCTTAATTTCTGGAGTTAATTTCCGCGCGTACTGATATCCAGGGGTGACGCCACGAATTTTGAGTGCGTGGGGGGGGGGGGGCGCTGGATTTTCCAGGAGGACCCCTGTACAAATTGGGGCTTCCTCGCAGGAGGGCCTCCCGGGTCGTGTCGTATGTAGGGGAGGGGCATCGAAGGCGTGTGCCTCCTTATAAATCAAAACAAGTGCCCTGACTGGAGCCCTCTGATTATTCCGCAGTCTCACTTGCCTATCTGAGGATCCTCTGTTCCTAAAAAGGGCCTCCTGATCCGTGGACGGACCTCTTAATCCAGAACAGGATGTTTCCGATCCGCGAAATGGCCTCCAAATTTAGTCGTGGGGCCTCGTTACCCCAAAACAGGACATCCTGGGCCGGAACCGCGGTCATATGATGCATGAAAAGCGCCCCCCCCCCTACTCCAGAAATGGGGCTCTTGATGTAGAAGAGGGTCTCCTGATCCCGATTTGTTTTTCTCTAGCACAGTTATGGGCCTCATTTATCTGATGACCTGACTTTTGGTAATCTATGGATAGCTGCAATGCCATTAATTTTGAAAACGGTCCACCCGAAAATTTTAGGGGGCAAAAAATACTCTTGCCCCCAGCCGGCAGGCAGGGGGGGGGGCAACTGCCCCCTCTGTTCCCCCCCCCCCCTTCGGCTGCTGCCGCGCCCCTGCTGCTGTCTCCAACAGTTGGCAAAGGCGATTCACTATAGACCAGTGGTGAAGACGTGCGCATTCGCAGCGAAGTTTCCATCATTCACGTCAATGCTTAAAGTGTATCCACTCACTTTACCATGTACCTACGCTAAAGATGCATGACTGGGAGGGCTCCAACACGAACCAGGTCATTGGTGTGGGATCTCCACAGCAAACGTCAGCCCAGCATCCGCTGCTCCCAATCCGTCCACGCGTCCACCGTTTGCGCCGCTCTCTCCCGCTCACGTCGCGCCGGTTCGAGCCAGCGGCGGCGGCGGCGTGCCCCCACCTGTGGTTGCTGCTGATGCCGAGGCTGGTGGCGCTGTGGTTGCGCTGGTGGCCGCGGCCGGGCGGCGTCACGCCGGCTGCCTCCATCACGGCCGCGAGGTCCTCGGCGCTGCCGGGCGTCTGCGAAGCAGCAGAGGTCACCGGTCAAGCACGGGTCACCGGTCAGGCGCGGGTCACCAGTCGGACACGGATCGCGTGTGAGGCTGCTTCTGTGCGCCTGTCAGCGACTGTTAATGCGACTGACAACATAACTTGACAATCCACACGATGACATAACTATTATGTGATGGCATCCTTAAAACACTCTAAACAACGGCGGATCGCTGTCATGGCATGACAGTGGAAGTCTTAGCAGCCCTTTCCGCGACATCTTCAAACCGGGCAGCAGTGTGTATTGAGTGAATCATTTTACAACGGTAGCATCCGCTGACGCTATTCAAGCACAGGACACCAATGCATTGTGCGCAGCTGGGCCTTGTCGGATGTAGACACGAGCCGCGCCAATCGTCTACCCAGAAATTGACGGATGCGAACAGCGCAGACGGCCCGACACAGAACCGCGCATGTTTCGGAGGTGATCCATCAGGCGTGCGTTTATTTCTGACGCGTTCCGTTCCGAGCAGCTGCGCGTAAGACGGCGGCGCGTGGCGGGCGGCGGCGAGCACGGCGCACCGCCGGCGGCCAATCACAGCGAGCTGGCCCGCTCGCATTTCGCTCGCCAGATTCCTGCGGGCACCTCCAATTGGCCCAATTTGCGTCTTCGGTTCTCACGCAAATGATGCCGAACGCTCCGAAGAATCCGTTGCGTTTCGCGACCAGCGCGCTGGGAAATAAGAAGTAACTTGGGAGACGTTTTCATGCAGCGGGGTGCCTGCGCGAAACGGCTGCCACTGAACAAGAGAGAGATGAAAGCACGACGCCAGGGTGGCGTCCTTTGACCTGAAGTGCTGTGCGGTTTCTCAGGGTCGCTGAGGACGAGACCTGGCAGCCAAGCGGGATGCACAGTCACTCTGAAAACCACCAGCGGACCCAACATCGGGCTGGCCACGTGCAGGAGTTAATGCTGCAGATGCCGGAGTAGCGCAGCCAACGTTTGATTGATCCAGCGTAAGATTTCGTTCTCTTTGTGGCTCATAGAACGTAAGAGCTATCTGATTGGCACGCTGCTCCTCAGAATCTTGATTGCTTCTGGCAGATAGCAAGACATCCGTACGCGACTACTTATTGCGATAAAAACATGCACAACAACACCGCTTCTCAGAATGTTAGCAATTTTCGGACTGGTAAAGAAGCATGCGTACACGAATACTAGAGTACTTTTACATGCAACGCTTTCGTTATCGACTGCATCATACAGTGTAGGATGAATTATCACGAGTCTGCTGAAAATGGCATGTCTTTTGGGGCAAGCAGTTTCGGTGACTCATAAAATATCCAGCACGAATCAACATCCAAGAACTACCGTTGATGTGTGCTGACATACAATTAAGCCAACAGGTCTAGTTGTGTATTCCCCCCAGTCAATTAGCTCGTTTCCGCGCACCTCTCGAATGAATCATTGAGGCCGCTCGGGCTCGGCTGTATGCTTTCCGCACCGGACGATCGGCTTATTAATTCAGGTCACTCCAGCGTCATGTGTCGGCATCAATAAGGCGTCCGTTTCGGGAACGCTTGGAGGTCAGGCGGGTCACGGCGGGCCCCGGCTGTGTCCGGCCGGCCGGCTGGGCCCCACCCCGCGGCTGTGTCCGGGCAGCTGCGGTCATCCGGCGCGACGGGCAGTCAGCCATCACGAGGGGCTTGCGCTGCTGTGTACTGGCTTGTCTCAACGATTATGAGAACAAATAAGAGCGCTTGCAGGCAAATGCCCGGGGAATGGGACAGGGTGATCTCCATGGACATGGACGATAGGCTGACGTGTGGATGCTCGCTGATGACGTGGTGACTGCGGACAGCGAGTCTTCCGTGTCAAAGTTACATCACGCATCGCATGTATAACCCGTAGTTCGATATACACATATGTTCCACTCCATGCTCCTGCGTTAAAAATGACGTGGTAGTTCGCGCATCACATATTTTATTAGCTGTGTGTCGTTTCAAATGCCGCCGAATGGTTCATTTGACACGATCTTGTAACATCTGATTTCAAGATTACAAAAATGTATTAATTTTCATGCCAGAATGATCATGTGATAATGTGATCAAATTAAGGTACCCGCTGTAATAATATTTTATGATTGGTTAAGCATGCCTTGGTATATGCTATGGTACTTTCGTTTTGCAAGCACTTGGGGGTCGTCATACCAGATTAGTTCAGGGACCGCGATAATTTGACATGATACCGATATTCTCACGAAGGATCTCGTCTCTATGTCTCACGAAGGTCAAATCTGTTAGAGAATTCATCCCCTAAACGTTTCAGAGATTTGCCATGCACGTTTTCCGTCCTGCCCGTTTCGCATCTTTGGCCTTGTTACAATAACGGACGCCGAGAGACGGCAGCCGCACGACATTGGCGGTCCCGAATTAGTCACAAGCCCTACAGTGTTGGGCCTCCAGGACAATCAAGACATTGGAGGTCCCGAATCAGTCAGAACAAGTCCTACAGTGTTCGGCCGCCAGGACAATCAAGAATCAGGAGGAGTCGAAGGGTCCCCGGGTGATAAAGGATTACCAGATTATTGACCCTCCCAATAACGAGGCTCCGCGTTAGCATACTGGGGTGCCTCGATTTCTCAGAACCGAAAAATGCTTGACATAAATAAATGAAGCGTCATGAAATGGCACGACCAAATCTTGCACATATTTACCCGTCAATTTGCATGTAAGGAAAAATTAACTGTTGATAAATCCAACCATAACATAACATTTGCATTTATAAGCTTTCGGTGAGCCGATCACAGTGCTATTCACGAATATGGAAGCTTTGTTGGCCGAAAAACAGCAACCAACCATTTAAAAAAAAACATAAGATTACATGACGTGACTCATTTTGAATCCTACTTTCGGGGTTGTCAAGAGATTTTTGTCATCGCTGGTTTTCGTCCGCATAAATAACAATTAAGATAAGAGCTACACAGTGCCTTAAAAATAGCAACATGCAATCATAACGTATGCTTCACTAAATATACATAGCACTCAACTGTGTTTCCTGAACGTTCGTAGGGCTTTCACCACGTAGACGGCTTTCCAAGCAATGTTCAAAACTTGCACTTTCACTAAAAAGCTCGGTACGTCCGTCAAACTGCTACAATTTCGCAAGAGGACGATCACACCCTAGAAGAGACCCTTGACGATCGCAGTGGTGAAATACCAGCGAAAAGCGCAGCTTACTTTTACTGACGCCAGAAATCCAATGCATGGTTTGATCCCATGAAACGATTTCGGCATGTCAAATAGCCCCAGCTAACGATATCACGACTTTCTGGAAAATCATTGGTGGCGCCTATCGATTTACACCGCCCGTTACTGAACCCGTTCATCCACCAACGTCTTCGCCGTTCCCTCTGCTCGGGCCCATGGCTGCTGTTCCGTTGCAGCAGGCGCGCGAGGATGACGGCGTGGGCCCGGCCGCTGCTGGGCGCGTGTTCCGCCGGACCAGCCGCTAGTCATTGACAATCTCATCGCGCCGTGTACGCCGTCGCGGCCGCGTCCGCCCCGTAATGGCGTTATGGTAATGGGGCCCAGCGCAGCCGTAATGACCAGCCAGAGGGATGGAGATGGAGCCATGCAGTGGCAGGCCGGATGGGGGGAGACGCTACTAGCGGCAGCGCTATCCTATAGGTGCGAATTGGAAAATTGGTCCACGAAACTGACAGGAATCGTATGTTGAGAAGAGCAATAAAGTTGGAAGTGTCTGTACTCTGCTCAGAGCCTCCTCATTACAGGAAAAGGGGTTTGTGTGTGCTGGGAGGTCAGCAGCTTCATGACACCCGCACAGATGTTCGGAATACAGGTAAGCATCCTTTCAAAGAAGTGATGCTTTTGAATGGCTTGAAACGGTGCATTGGGTACAGAATTTGATAATAGGTATGTACACATGTGCATGATATATATATATATATATATATATATATATATATATATATATATTATCATCACATAACATCTTTGGGAAAATTTAGATAAGTTTCGATTTTTTTCCAAGGAGGTAAGTTGCCAAACGTGCGAAACTGTATCTATCGCATCGTTAAGTGCGTTGAAGGCAAATAAGTCTATAGAACAGAGGCAAGCAATGGTATCGTTATGATGCCTTTACGGCTTGAATGTGTTTAAAACGCATCAGCAATTAAAACACTACTAAAATCCAATCAACAAAAGCTATATATATATATATATATATATATATATATATATATATATATATATATGCTCGAGATATAGCTAGATGATGTACAGCTAAAGATGCTCGGAATACAGCTAAGCACCTTTTCAAAGAAGTGATCCTTTTGAATAACTTGAAACGGTGCGTTGGATACAAGAATTGATAATAGGTATGCATACACGTATATTATATATATATATATATATATATATATATATATATATATATATATATATCATCACATGACATCGTTGGGAAAATTGAGATAAGTTTCGATTTTTTTCTCAGCAGGTAAGTTGCCAAACGTGCGAAACTGTACCTATCGCATCGTTAAGTGCGTTGAAGGCAGATAACCCTACAGGACAGAGGAAAGCAACGGTGTCGTTACGATGCCTTTACGTCTTGAATGTGTTTAAAACGCATCAGCAATTAAAACACTACTAAGACCCATAGCCACAAACGCATCAACAAAAGCTAACGCCTAACACCCAGAAACTCAAGAGTTCTATAAAAATTGACGTTTATTTAAGGCTGGTAGAATGCATGAAATCTATACCGGGACGTACGAAGGAATCCGTAATGGTAGTGGGAGGGGGCGGGGAACTAAAAATGTTCTCCAAAAACCCATGGTAGTACGCTGCATGCGACCGAAATTTCATACACGGCGTAAAACGACATCGCCTGTTTTAATTTCGCTTTAATTTACTTGCGTGCTTTGAATCAGCCCGAAATTGAGAATTTACACCCACATTCATACATCCCATAAGTAACATAAGGGAAAAGCACGTGCCCCGAA